TCCACATTGCTCAGAATTGGAAGCCCCGAGTCTGGCCCACAGGTTCAGTCTCATATTTCTTCAGTTCCATGGCTCTCAGGACCCTCTAATATAGAATAATTTGAGTGTATAACTTTTATTAATGAGCTCGGCGGACATATTTCTGGTTCAAGCGCTCATGCCTTTGACACACTAATTGTGCGCGTGACTGTTTTCAACCGATATGGGGTACTTCTGCATGGTGATATGACTGATGTAGGCCTATTACATAAAACAGCACCACTGTCTCCACTACCCGGAACTGCGGTATCAAAAGAAGTACTTTGTGTAATTGTACTTTTCTTTTGTTCGTTTTCGTTCTTTCTTCTTGTCCATTTTGTATCTTTATTGTTGGAACTTACAGTCATGTAAAACAAGTCGGGACCTACAGTCATATAAAGCAGCCTGTTGCTAATATGATGATCTTGCCTAGGTATATTTTGATAAATAAATAAATTTACTGACTGATTGCATAATGTGTTAATTCATGTGAGTTTGTTTGTGCAAATCCCGGGGTCAGTGTTAGATAAGCTAAAATCTGCGTACCTTTTTTCGGTCATGGCTGTGTTTTTGTCAATAAATAATAGGCTTATTTATTTCACTCCTCCGGGTGAACTTTTGGTACGCTTTACAAACTTGTAAAAAGATCAAGTTTTCTTGTGCGGTTTGACCGGGGTTTTTTTTAGAGACCTCCGTTGTTCCAGAGAATGAATAGAATTCGACCTTCAACAGTTCAGTTTGAGCTCCGAACGTGACGGTGCAGTTTTGAAGGCAGAAATAACGCTTCTACGAGTGTCAGTAAACCCCTTAGCTAACACTTTGTTATGAAACAAATCTTTCAAGAGGCTCAGACGGAAGCAAACTAGTAGTTATGCCAAGGCCTACAGACAGGGTAAGTTGTCAACAGCTTTCTGTGAAAAGTTCGTCTCAAGGCGGCCTTCTGTTATTTCTCAGTTTCTGGCCAATTTTACTGCTGCAGCACTTCAAGTGAGTTAGTCTGAAACAACGTTTTACTTATAAACTAGGTTTGGGTCTTTTTTGTTTAAATTTCAAAACTATTTCTGTGACGTTGTGACGTACAGTTTGCTGTAGATTCGTAACAACGACTAGATTACCCCGATTCGTATTCTCCTTTCCCCCTCTGAACGGTTTAGTAGTTGTGACCGGAGTGTCGGGGTATATATTTGGGGCCGTGGCGCTGATTCTACTGGGCCTTTTTAACAGGCACATTGGGCAAATTTATTAACGGATATCAGAAACACCCACNAGTCTGGTCTTATTGTGTATGTTTGCCTTTCTCCGTAGAAAATGGCGCATAGTTTATCTCTCGTTTTGTTTCAGAATCAATGATTTATAAAGCAAGATTTTCAACAAAGATTAGAATTTTCTCTTCACCTTTCAATGAGGAATAAATTTGATGTGTTTTGGCTACTTTTCTGTGTCTACGTTTTCCCCAGTCTCTCTTATATGTTAGATAATAATTTAATTGAATTGACATAAACTCGGGTACATCTTCGCGTTGTACCAAGATCATACCGGTCCTGAGGTGACAGATTTGTCAGGCTTACTGCCAGCTGTTAGGGTATGCGGCCCGGCACATTTATCTCAGTTCGTTTAAAACGGCCATCAAAGATACTTATATAATCTTGCTTAAAGAGCTAGGCTGCTTGTAAATTTTCTTGTGTTGTAAATGTTTTTAGCGCTATAAGCAATTTTAGGAGGATGTGTGCGCTTTATAAAAATTCTTTATTGTTATCACTGAACTCTAAAATTTGCATCGTAATTTCAATCCAAGGTTGCTCATTCATCACATGAAACAGCAATACCTTAAAGTGGGCATTTCGGAATGATTCATACACAAGAACATGTAAAGATCAGTGAACCTCATTTTGAGTGGATTGTAAAGTGGTTCGAAAAGTGCTAACCATACTTTCATATAGGATTGATATAGCATTCCTCAATTTCATTGAGTCCTGTAGTGGTTTTAGTCCGGAAGATTTCGCTGCAATGACACACGTATAATTATGGCCCAAAGGCACAAGAGGGATTCAGCACAGACCTATTGACTGTAGGAATACTGTCAATGTTAAACGTTTCACCATGGAGCTATTATGTGTTTAATAGCTCCATGGTTTCACGTAGCCAAACCCGTTATATCCAGTAAGATATTGGACGGAGGGGTACCCCCCACATGTCCAATCCCTATACATAGAGTATTGTGACCTGACACATCCCCCTCATGTCTGTAAAGAATTCCGGAGATTCTGATTTAACAATGACCAACACAAAGGTGTGACGGGTACTCTCCGTCCCATATCTTGCTTCATCTTGCACAAAATGGAACAAAGGTGTGCACTCAGGCGAAGTGTTGACAGAGAGCGTCATAGACTGGGGACATCACGTTCGTGCAACAGTGGGAAAAAGTCAGAGAATAGAACTCGTAACTATAGATTCGTGCAAGAATCTACAGTGTTCGTCCACTTTCTATGACTTAAAGAAGGCCTCTATGGGTCACAGTTATTAAGTTAACTTTTTCTTTTCCTGTCATTTGCTGATGGCTTACTTTCTATAGTCCTTGTTTTCACTTATGTTGATAGATATATGTCCTGTCTTTGTATTATGTGTCTCTGATGAATGCCGAATGAATAATAATGATAATAATACAAACAATGAACAAGAATTGAATGCATGTAGCACGTTCATTTAGACATTACGTCATTACGTGCGCTTGGTTGCGATACGATTAGTCTGCATTTAGTTTTTTAGTCTCTGCAGCTAATCGCAAGTTAAACGCTAGTGTGTACTTTCAGGATTATTCTTGGTACTGAGAAATGTTTACCAGATATTACCTTCTGATAAGCTAGACTAGACAGCACTGTAGGACCTGCTCTGTTACCTTTGGAATTATCTGGGCAAAGGGTACTCTTAGAGCGTTGATGTCTAATTGTCAGAGTTTTATCAAGGTACAGTCTCACACTCGTTTCATGAATTTCTCTTCGGATTTTTGTTGTTGTTGTTTTGTATTTTTACAGTCGTACCATAAAATTCGCTAGAGTGAAAGGTCATTTTTGTTCACAGGGTTGATACATACCTCACAGCGGACTGACCAAAATGCAGCACACGAATGAAGGTAGGAGCCCTTCGGAATCGAAGTATCGGGAACTTCCTACTCAAGAACAAAATGGCAACTACTCCATCGTTGACGACAATCCTGACGATGAGGCAGGTGTGCGTGCGCAGTGCGGACTCGGCGGCCTGAGGTGTCGCATTCTCCAGGTGCTGGCGCATCCTAACGCGTACGTTCTCTGCGCAGGGTTGCTGTTCGTATCGACGGTGGGAGCCAGTGGGATATACGTGGCTGGTGTTGTCTCCACGATCGAGAAAAGGTTTCAGCTGAGGAGCTCCGAATCTGGTCTCCTGATGTCTATGAATGACATCTCGTCATTGTGTGGTGTGCTGTTTGTAACACACTTTGGTGGAAGGTTAGTGTATTAGTTCACAATAGAGATGTATTTACGCAGTCACACACATATTCAAATATGGACTGCTCCGAGTAGTGTAGTAAACCTACCATCCCAAGCTGATCCATGGAGAATCATATTTTGCCGAGCCAAAGCCAATGGAAAATGGAATGCTCCCTGGATCACCGAGGAAGGCTAGACCACGAAATAAAGCATTGGGCATTTGTTTTGTAACACTTCTCCCAAAGATTGTACTTGATTTAAGTAGTGAATGCTAGTGATTAATTAATTTGAATAAGAATGTGTTGAAAATTTACCACCACTTTTCCAAACTACCTTTTTGCGAAATGTTTAGCCCAGCTGTGTAGTGCTAGCGCTTCAGGATGCGCGTGACGCGCAACGCAGACAACTGTATGTATTTGTGCAAAATATTTTGTGGTCATGATGGTTGCACTCATTGATCTCCATTATATAGACTGGATAGGACATCGCGCAATGTTTGTGCACAAAATGCGCGTCCGAACAATGGCGGCGCTTCAGGATGGTAATGCGATGCTGTATGCTGTGCACTTCTGGTCAACATAACCTTTTTCTCATGGGATGATTGCTAAGCCGGGCCTCGGCCTCCCTCCCGAAAACAAGCCAAAAATGTACAAAAAATGCAAAAATATCATTTCCGGCAATAACTGACCATTTTCTTATAAAGTAACCCACTCGAAAGCGATAATTTTAACTTGTTTTTGTGTGGATTCCACTATGACATGCAAGAGGTTTTGTCAGTAAATATGATACCCAAACTGTACATGTGTTTTTCTGTCTTGTTTCGATGAGCCAACACTAACAAAAATCATCAGTAAATTGATTTTAATTTTACACACTCTCGGGAAAAATTGTACTAAATAAAATTCATTCATATATTGAGTAAATTTTATTGAAAACCGACATGCGGCATACGGAAGTGTGAGAATCTTTTCTGTGAGCACAAAGTGAGCGCAGCTTCAAATGAGCGACTAAACTACCTTACTGACGTTTTTAAAACAGACACTTACTCAGCTTAAAAAATTTGACTTCACGACCTGACTTAAAGATTTACATTTAACAACTACTTTCCGGCATAAAAAAGTCAGTTTTGACTGAGAACGAATAATTTTTTTATGTAGACAAAGTTTCTTTCATTGCCTTGACTTTGAATTCCCTTGTTTGTAACTTCATTCAACAGAAACGTCAGCACTCTGCTTATCACTTTGGTTTCATATCTGCCCCGAAGAAGAATTCTGTCACTCATGTCACATCGTCTGTCACACGATTTGGGTTCAATGCGTCTGCATATCCGAAGAACACAAATCATGGTTTACTTGGAGATTTTTCCGGTGAAATCTGGGGAAAATAAATGACATATAAGTCGTTCAGTTTTGAAACCACTTGCCAATGAGTAACATTTCAGACGGTCTCAACCTCGAGATAGTTAAGTTTCATATACAAAGCCTGATAGGCTAGATAAACTGTCATAAATTTCTTACTAGGCTTAAAGTTAAGCAGTATAAGGTACAACTTGAGAAACTTTCTGAAACTAAAAAAGTGCGAGTCACGTTTTCTTCTGTTCCTTCTTCCAAACTTGACGTTGATCTCCGGTAATTCACTGCTGCGTTCACCTCAACCATTATTCTTTCCAAATTTATCCATTCCAAGTGCAGAATTCGGTTTTTCTTCGAAATCTGACGAATGAAGGACTAAAACCTCAAGCTGTTTTTGAAAAACTCCATTTGAAAGTACATGCAACGAAATTCGCAACGCTCGATATTTACCCTCCTGAAAATAGGCATACGTGGGACGCGTTTTGGACGCGAGGTCCTATCAAGTCTGTATCCGGTTCGTAAGTGACTTCGTCACAAAGGGGGACGCGCCACGACTTGCAGGCTCTTATTGGACAATCGCTGAAGTTGCTCGTTAATTTCTGGTTCCACGTAAACGGCGATCAATGGGTGGGTTCGATTAACTTACACGAGTAAGTCAAACTTACAAGAGAGTTTCGTTTAGCCATCACGTGATCGTTGTGCCTGCCCTGGTGTCAGCCACCACTACCCCAGCTGGCGGGCGGGTCTCTGGAGGCTGCCCGGATGTAATGACGTCACGGATGGACCGTTCGAGCATGGACATCAAAGAACGAACGTGGCGGGGACTTGACTTTCTTCCAAGAATGCCTCGGAGAATAAGCTGCCGCGTTCGATTAGCCTCATTTCGAGGCTTCCCTTGCGTGTAACACTGGTGTATTCAGGGAAGCTAATCGAACGCAACCAATGCATGTTACCCTATGGTTGCACTTCACAAATACGCGCCCATAGAGCGCCGCCTGTTGACTCTCGTAGAGAGGTTGGCCTCCGTTTTCTTATACTGGAAATTCAAGATTATTGCCAGAAGATCACTTTTCGTTTCAATTTCACGGGGGTTAGCCACGACAATCTTTTTCCTTCACCTTGAAAGTCCCCAATTCGGGATTTATAGAAAAAGTTATATGATCCCCACTGATTATGGCGTGTCTTATTGTAAAACCCCGTGGGCCGGATCACAAAATATTAATGAGCTCGCGCGCAGAAATACAACCATTTAATGGAATGCACCATGCAGCTTTTGAAATACGCGTGCGATTGACTTTATGTGATTGACGTTTATGTACAGTATATTCATCCCGAATAGCCAGTCAGCGTCATTTTCATATTCAACACGACCAGACTCGTGAAGAAACGCGAACGCAGCCAATGGAGTCGAGGTTGACAAGAATAGTACTTTGGGTTTCCACCACAGTTATAGTAAAAATACGTCATGCCATCTCTGCGCAAAACAACGGGAAAGTCGTCCGTTTAAGTGGCGTGCTGAGCAGTGCAGTCCATGCACGCTTCACGCTGTACGTAACGTGTACTGTACACAGGCCTACACCAAAGATAATAGCACCGTCTATAGTACCGTGCGAGTTAGTCATACTGACATATCAGCACGGAAGACCAACGAAACCGTGCTTGTGTCGTGCTGAAATGTCCGGCTACGTCAGGGGGGCCGGGACCGCTGAGACCGGTCTTGTGCGTGTAACCGTGATTTTGAAAAGTGTGGGCAAACTATGGGTGCGTTCGATTAGCTTCCCTGAATACACCAGTGTTACACCAAGGGAAGCCACGAAATGAGGCTGATCTAACGCTGCAGTGTATTCGCCAGGGCATTCTGGGAAAAAGGTCAAGTCCCTGTCACGTTCCATCATTTCCATGCTCGAGCAGTCCATCCGTGACGTCATTACACTCGGGCAGCCTCCAGAAACCCACTCTGCACCTGGGGTAGTGGTGGCTGACACTAGGGCGGGCAGGAAGATCACATGATGGCTTTCGTGTAAGTTTGACTTACATGTGTAAGCTAATCGAACGCACCCAATGAGCGAAGCAACGGATGGCAGCGCGTTCAGTGAGCATTTTGCGCAACGCACTTACATTGCCTGTATTTGTTTGCATCTGCTCCCAAAATACGTTCAGTTTTTTGCTCTTCAGTACTGCTATCTTTTCTTTTCAAATGTTGCAACCGCATTGTTTAGAATCCCTAGGGGCCAGATTAAGTATATAGAGGATTTTTTTAAATCGAAAAAAATGGCTTCGAAGAATTTTACGGCTGCGCAAAGTTCCTATACTGAGGGGTGAATTTGCCCATAGTTTTGATTTTAGTCGGCCGCCGCGAAGATCACAAAAAAACCTGTAGTTTTGAATAGGACCTGGCAGTCTGTGCGTTTGTGATCCGCCCTGAGTTGAAGTGCACCCTCGCTGGAGAAAGAAAGACAGACTGGTACGAAGTTTTCCAACTAGGTTCTTGTACTCGTTCGGCGTGCATGCAAAAACCATCACAGTTGCAAAAACTTCGGTGTTAAAAATAACACCGATGGTGTAGAATTAATTTTATTTTTAGTGGTGTTTATTATAGGCAAGGTTTTTGGTGTTTGAGTTTATCAACAATACGGGAGTTAAATAATTCCCAAATGGTGTTTATTTCGGGCAAGGAATGTGGTGTTAGGTAACACTGTTATTTATCCTTACGAGAACCCACATTTGTACTGGTGTTAATTTTAATACCCGAATGGTGCCATCTAATCCATAGTGCTCATCGGGGAATTTTTTGCCTTTGGTGTTACACAATACCTGGAAATTGAAGAGAGTCTACCAAGAGTTTGAATTCCAAATAACAAAACTATTGACAACAGGACATTTAACTCGAGATATCATTTTTTTTTATTGCTATTAGTATAATTTGAAATAGCAACAGGTTTTAGTATAAAATCATAATTCAGAATAATATCACTATCATTATAAGATTCACTGCTGCAGATAATGCAATGAAACTCTTCAAGGGCACATTACAAAAAACTGGAAAATAGAACATAGGAAAAGTAAATCGCCCATGTACATACTGTCCAAACACCACTTAATTAACCAGCAACTTTAATGTTTTACATGTACTCCAACAGATAAATGATAGAAGTAGTATCATCTACCAATATTGTACCTCAAAGCAAAAGAACATGTCTGAGAGATAATATACTGGGTAGAATCACAACATAACAATTTAATTATTTTCTACAGGAAAAGTATAAGTAAATTCTTCAGTACACTGTTTAGAACTATTTCTATAATTGTAGGGTATATTCAAGTGGTTTGGTACTTTTGGCAGCATTATGAAATTAGGCACAGTACTAAATACTAAAATAGTGCCACTTACACCTACAGTGCATTATGCCAAGAATTAGCATGAAAACCACCCTGTTGAAAATTGACGTATGGCTGTGCTGTGTTAACCTTGCACGGAGCAATATCACTCGACCAAATAGTCTGTTCTAAATAAACAGAAAAGAGATTAAACAAATCTGAATTATAAAATAACTTTGGCTATGCTCTCATTCAACTTGTCATACAACCATTTTCCTTTGGAACTACTTGAAAGAATATGTCTCAGAGAGACATACTGGGTAGAATCACCTTTTGGTGTCTTTGGGTAAGGAGGGCTACTTGTTGTGTCTGATTCACTGGAGCTTATTGCCAGGGTAATGTCACTTGCAATTCTTGGATCGAAACCTGTGGAGCTGGGAATTGCAAGTAAACGAAACGTCAAAGAGGTCATTAGTCTTCAAACTGTTCAAATACCTACTTAAAAAGAATATACCAATACATACCAGTTATTTACGACAGTGTTAGGGGGCCTGGCCCATGCAGTGTGTTGGCCTTTGTTAAAGAAGCAATCAATTATGAAACCATTGTATTTTTCTGAAAGAGTACCGTACAAAGATATGATTTGGCAAACTATGCAAGAAATGTATGAAAGTTTATATTTTCAATGTTCCCCCTTTTAAAAAAGAATTGACATGCAAATTTACATGTACAGTGTGTTTTTGACCAAAAGTGAAGAGCATCATTGAAAGATGCTATCATAAACATAAACCAGGTTTACGTACATGCATGTAGCTGGCCCTTATGAGGGAACACTGGGTACATGGCATGTCAATATTAAGCCTTCTGACTGTAGTATGGAATTATTATATTGGCTGAAATGTAATGTGTGTTTGGTTCTGTAGATAGTTTGCCTTTAGTTTTACCGCGGATGGAGTCTTTTTACAGGTATTCTTTTTTCCAGGCTGTGTGCCTGTCATGTATAAGAAATACTCACGCACATATCAACGTGTAGACCCATCTTGTGCAGGACATTATCAATGTCTCTCAAAGGAGTGATCCGTCTGAAGGACAGTTCAAGTCTGAAGAGCATCAATCATTTTAAAACACTTACCTGGTTCTAAAATTTCTGCAAGGTCGCCCTTGAACTTCTTTCATTAACACTCAATTTCGTCACACACTTGTCACATAGTAAGGTCAAATAACAATCATGGAAAGGTATCAGGCACGCAGGCACGTAAAGTTCAAAGAGAAATATCTAGAGCAGCTAGCATCCCATAATTTTATACTGACCAATCAGAAGGCTTCTTTTCAAAGACGCATGCACTACAAGACAAGTTTAACACCAATTTCATGTAACACCGGTTCTTCTTTTCAATTTCAATGCCTAAGGAATTATTTTGCCTCTCCGTCATACCAAATTCCATTCAAAAAGAATGAAAAAGACAAGTGTTAAAAATTTAACACCACAGGTTTTGCAGTACACATTCTAGAAAAATTCGTTGCACGCACTCAGTTTGCTCCTCGTGAAACGCGCATAAACTTGCAGTGAGTTCGTATCAAAGGACTGTCAATTTCATTAAAAACACTTTTGTTACCGCTCGGAGTGGACAGCTCTTTTGGCTGTGTACAACTAGATAGCTAAAACTGCGAATGCCATGCGACAAGTATGGGTAAAAGGATGAATGACTTATAAACGAATCCCCGTGACCAGAATTGGACTGGTCCCCATTTATTTAGAGACCGATAGCTACCTGGTGACTGGAGTCCGTGGTTGTGCAGTTACTTTCTGTATTCAGAGAGATGATGTTTACATACAACCTTTCGTGCACGTTACAGCCGAATACATGGATCTCCAGAAAACTTAAGAAGTGTTTTTCCCCTTGTAATTATGGAAGCGGTTAGCCCTAAAAAGTTATGTTGCATGTGGAAATGACTCAGTAGACAGAATATTAATCCATTTTAGAAATTCTTCCAAAGTTTCGTCACGTAACAGTGTTGCCATGTAGAAATCTTTATTTGCTAAACATTAAACCGGCAGGATTCCTCCGGAATCACTACTCGCTACCGGTCCCTACATTCGGATCGGAGGACGTCTGTAAGACGTCTGCAGACTACGCACAGGATTGGAACCAGTCTAACACGGCTCTTTTCAACCGATGAGGGGATGGTTCTGCTCCTGGCGGATAGGATGCTGGGCAACCTTAACTCCGTGGGCCAGCGTTCTCACTCCTTCAGTAGATCGCGTAAGGCATGGTGGGAACCAACATGGCGCGGCAAGATATCGTACCGATGGGAACGAGGTTGGGGTTCTAGGACTTGCCAAAGTATGCGCGCGCAAAAGTTAAGAATTACGTGTCAGTATAATGACCTCGCAAGAATGGCGTCACCTCAGTTAGTCTGGATACCAGACCCAATGATTCTGACTACTTTACGAATCAAGGGTCCGGTGTCACCCAGTGTCCACGTGACCAAGACTGGAGGAATTCATCAAGTTTTCCGGAAATAGCCGAAATATTCCGACGTCGTCCCATCTATATTCGGCATGTTCGGATGGTACTGTTGATGTTAAGTCATTCTCGGCTGTGTGGGAAGGCTAGCTGTTGAACGTAAACTCCCGTAGGCCTATTTATTCTGATTACAGCTGTTGATCCTACAATATTTGACTTTACACTGCAATCGAAGGTCACTTTGGCCGAAATCAATGCCAGCTTTTTTATAGGCCAAATTCAGAATATAATGCCCACACATACAGGGTGCACCATTGTAATGAAATCGAAAACACCCTCAACTTGTGACCCCTGACCCTTGTGTCATATCTGTTTATATCCGTGGGTGATGCGTGGCCTAAGATTTTTTATCAAGGGTCGTCAGGGAATCTTTGGGCAGGGATCCAGACTACTCCACAGTTTCCTCTGTAAGTGGATTCAGTGTGCATTTTGTGCGTAACAACGCGCTTACATTGCCCGTATTTGTATATACATACAGTTAAGCCCAAAAATATTCATACCTTATGTGGAAATTGATATTTTCATATTTTAGTGTATGAAATGGAGGACTGAGATCACTTTGGTCTTATTCCATTTTATTATGGTAGAATACAAAGCAATGCAGCAATTTTGGTTTCTTTATTGTCGACTTAAAGGTTACATAATCTACAACCCAGTGCCAGTCTAGTACCAGGACTAGACTGGCACTGGGTTTACATCCTATGTTTCGTTACAATATTAGTGATGCCACTTAGTTTATAATGTACTGATCAGATATATGGATTCAGCCACGGTTAAGTCTTGTCTCATTTCTGTATATTTAATGTTTGTATAGTCCTTGTCAGTCCCAGATCGGGGTAGAAAAGCTTGAAGCTTCACCCACTTACCTAGATGTTACCCTCTGTTTGGTGCTCAAGTGGTAATTTTAATTGTTCCGTGTAATGATTTAATTGTTAAATTGCATTTTTAATCTAATAACGTGCAATTTTGTCTCCATCAAGTATAGCACTGTACTATCTATGTGTCTTTTAGGGCAATGTAGACATAAAATGTGCAAAAAAACTTAGTTCAAGACTTCATTCACAGCAAAACGTTGAGTCAGTCATATAATGGAAGTTTTTGAGCGGCAAGCAGTCACAAGTAGACTTACTTTGTGTTTGGTTGTAGTCCTCACAATTTCATTATATTTACAGTGAGTGACACATTTTCTCTTTCCTAACTCAAAGAGGACATTATGGCCTTATCCAAGTAAATGCCCACGGGATAGGCAATGATAGTTAACGACTATGATTTTTTTCCCCAAACTTCATGGAATCCTGAAGATCACATAGGCCAAGAATAGTCGGGATATCGGGCCTGGTGGTTGCTCTCGGGTCTTTCTTGGCAGCCCTTCCCCAGTTCATATTCGACAACCCCACCCTAGATGAACTTTTCGTCAACAGCGCCAACCAATCGGAAGGCACTTCAGGAGCATCACTGTACGAAAAAGGTGCAGTATTGAAATGCTTAACATATTAATGTCATAAGTAACATGTAATTAAAGGCTCTCGTTTTCATCGGAGTAGTAATTAAAGGTTCTCATTTCCATCAGCGTACAGAACATCAAAGATTTACATGTACTTATATACCTGAGGTAGTGCATTTTTACGTTTGCTTAAAAAATAGAGTTCCAGAATTGCCCCCCCCCCATCAAATCAACCACTTTATGGAATAATTTGCTATTTGACACATGTCACAATTCTTTCCTTATTCTTGTCCTTCACCGATGAGCCGGAGACTTTTTTTCTTTCTCTTTTTTATTTCCTTGCAATGTAAATTGCATTATCAAAACCTTCGGCGGCTAACAACAACAATGGGATTTCCTCTCTGCTCATTAAACGTTCTAAATCAGATTTACTCTGCAACGCTAAGGCGAATGCCAGTCCGTGCACCGTAGAGGAGATTGAAGCGTCAGGGTCCCAGTTCGCCAAGACGTGGCCAATCATTTTAGGCCAACTGCTCAGTGGACTTGGCGGCGCTGCCATATTGCCACTGTCTGTGACGTACATTGATGATGCAGTGGAGAAGACCATCCTACCAATCTACATGGGTTTGTACTATTCATTCATAAATACCTCAGACAGTCTCCTTATTCAACAACGTGCAACTTGACCGAGTATTAATCTTTGATAATGCCGCTGAGAAGTGATAACGCCAGCTGCGTAAATCACGCGCTGGCACCTGGATACGAGACAGTTTAATCGATTCTGATTGGTCAAGAGTCTGTGTGTATGCGGCTCGCAAAGAGTGCGCCAAGTCCATATAAGGACATTCCGTTTTGGACAACTTGCAAAGGAATATACCATAAAATGAACAGGGGTGCTCGGGAAACTGAAAGTAAAATTATATGACAAAATCGTTGGAGATCCATTATATTTTGACTTCTTTTGACTCTCTGGCCAAAAAAAGGTATTTATGAATGTGAATAAATACGTGCTTGGCCGGTCTTAAACCAACGTTTTAAGACACCGACCCTATACGCACCTTTAACAACACAAAGTAAGACTCCGGGTACTACCCCAGCTTTGTGCTTATTAGCAAACGGGTCCTGAGAGAGTATTTGGTAAGACGTGCACAAATTCACACCATCTAAGACGACTGTTTTTGACGTTCCAACAGCTTTGATGTTTCTACCCATGGCAATTGCACCCTTGTTCGGTTTTTCGATCAGCGGTTATTGCCTTTCACTCTTCGTGGACTTCTACAAGGCAGATACATCGGAGCTGGGTATCAGCCCTCGGGATCCTCGGTGGCAGGGCGCCTGGTGGCTAGGCTTCATCATCTATGGAGTCATCCTGTGCCTTGTCTCCTTCCCCTTCTTCTTTTTCCCGCGGAAGATGGACAAGCCGAAGTCCTACTGCTGCTGCACCGGGATGCCCGACTGTTGTAAGGGATGGATAGTACGAGCAAGAGGAGGGCGGGCCGCCATGACGGAAATCGCCACCCATCAGAAAAAGCTCTCCGGAAAGCCAGTGATGGTGATCAAGGGTAAGTAAATGTTAGCCAAGAACGAAGGTCTCCTGTGATTCAATCTTCCAAACCTTTAATAAAGTCCCGACGTCATGTCTATTCTGAGATTCATGGTTGAGGAACCACTGTGCTCTCGAAAAACGAGCTAGGTTAGTGTTTTCTAGAACCCGGTTGTGGTTCTCTGCAGAATCTCAGAAATTTACAAAAAGAGAGATTTTGTACATGGGACTGCATGGAGCGGTTCCATCAACATGTCTTTACTTTCTCGGCCATTTGATACTGTTTCAGAATTTCTGGCGTCACTGCGTCGGCTCCTTTTTAACCCTACCTACATGTTCTCACTTCTTGGGTACTGCCTGCTGGTGATTTCATTTTCCGGGTTTGGAATATTTTCCGCCAAGTACATCCAGTACGAATTCGGCATAAGTCCCTCAACGGCTGGGCTTTTACTGGGTAAGAAAGCGCCAAAATAGGCTACACTTTTAAAAGAACTGTAATTGAAATAGACATTTTAATCAAAGTACTATTATAAACATATTCGTTTTTAAAAGACCTAACTTTTACCATCTCACTCAGGCTTTACAGTCATGCCCGGTAGCCTAATTGGCATCCTCCTTGGCGGTGTATTAACCTCTCGGATGGCAGGGAGCCAGCGAGGCTATGCACAACTCACTCTTGGTATCCATGTTCTGTGCGTGTTGTCGTATTGTATCATGTTGTTCTTTGGATGTCCCAACATCAAAATTGCCGGACTGACGACTCAATATGGCACCAATGGCGCAGCGAATGGAAATGGGTGAGGTCAACTACATTGTTTTTGTTCTTTTTAGCGCTACTTTCATATTCAGTTACTTTGAACTCTCTATAGTAAAGATTGCGGTAACACCATGTATTTATCTAAATACATGGTGTTACCGTAATCTTTACTATAGATCTAGTTTCTTTCACCATGAAAAACCTTTAAGTCTTATACTTTGAACTCTGATTTAAAGTTTGAAGTGATACCAAAACCAAACAATCGGGCTTTACTAAAAACGATAGCATAAGTGGCTCTGACATAGATGCAGTTAAAAGTGCTGTTTTTCAAAAGCAGACACCCCATATTTTTTAAAATCTACCCTTAACCGACAAGTTCTGTATCTATGTTTATTCAGTACCTGACATAAATGAACAGCTTGATATGATGACTGATACGTGCCACTGTTACTCAGTGCATATCGTCAGTGTAGCTCATAAGCCACTGAAAGTGAACTTCTATGGGTGTTTCTTGTTTCATTTCCGCATGTATTAGTTTGGACGTATTCTCAACCTGTAACATGGACTGCTCTTGCGAGAGGGGGACTTATGCACCAGTCTGCGGCTCTGACAATGTCACATACGTCACTGCTTGCTTTGCTGGTTGTAAAACAGTGTTTGAAGAACAACATAATACAACGGTAGGTGCATCTAAGACAAGAAAGGAGCAACAGAATCTAGACCTATTTGTTATACAACGAGATTTGTTATGTGAAGTAATATTTCTCGTTTATTGTGGAAAATTGCTAAGGCTTCTTAGCATTGAAAAGATATGCAGCTGTTGGTTCATTTCATACCTACATCTCATTTTCTTTCTTTTTGGATAGATTTACGAAGGCTGCGCTTGTATTAACCAAACTGCATACAGTTACACGAATGAGTCAACTTTCGATGTGGCATCCAAAGGAGCATGCGCCGCAAACTGTGACCTGCTGATTCCATTCGTCATTTTTCTTTGCCTTGCAACCGGCATCTCGTCGCTTTCATTTAATCCCACATTCATGATGAAGTTCAGGTGAGAAATATGTGATAAAATAAGGCTAATTTTCAACTTACTTCTTAAGAGTGATATTTCATAGTTATGAAGATAAGCCTTGTTGGAAGACCGTTTATAAGATAATTTTAATAGTTTTTTTTTTTACTTAAAAGTACTCCATGTCACTGGTGAGTTTCAACTGATCAACTTACAAGAATTAGAACAACAAGCCGTTTTTTAAAATTTTGACAATATGATTGCGACTGCAGGTGCGCAACTTAGCAGGCGTGGATCAAGAGCAGGTTGGGGTCAACCTCCCCCCCGCCGTGCTCATTGCTATTAGATTGCATTGCATTGCGTTACATTTAGTGGCCTCCATCTAAAAATTGAAAGACCCCCTAAAAATATGCACATACCAAGTAGGGGTCTTACTTTTCGTGCACATTTAGGACAAAACAAAGATATCAAATTAGTCTGTTTAAAGTGTATTGGACACAACAGGAAGGCATTATTTGAAATGGGCAAATTTGAGCACCACAAAACATCTTACCCAACCAAATAGCGCCCTCCTATTGTGTCCGCCACACTATAAATAGGCTAATGGCTTCATCCCTGTTGTATGGACACAATTTCCTGAACCACCCCCCAGCAAAAATTCCTGGATCCGCCCCCAGCATGCACCACGTGACAAATCTCTGTTGTAAATTAGTAAGGTTCTGAAAAGAACTAGGTCACTGGGGTCTTTGTTCCAGGTCGCGGCCCGGTGAACTGGCAAAGAATTGTGATGGTCCAACCGGAAAAATGTATAAACTCAAAATGCCTTGGTGCGCTCAGCCCCTCAGGCAGCTCCCTTAGAAAACCTCAACAGTCCTCCAAAGCTGTGGAGTAAATCTGTGCTGGAAATTGGGGGTGGGGTGGGGGATGACTTACCTGGCCAGGGAAATTTGAAAACCGGGGGCGGGGGGACACCATATACACTGCATAGGGGCGAGGTTCATGATAAAGATGTATATCTGTAATGTGTATCAAATTTATGCTGAATCTTACATCAAACTGGCATATTTACATGACTTATGGCTGTATGAAATTACTTTCCTATTTTTAGTGATTTTGCAAATATTTTAGTCTTGAGAAATCCTAGAAATTCCTTATAATCCACTTTAATTTTGTTGTTCATCACAAAAAAGGGGGGAATGATTCAATAGCCCACACCCCCATCTCAAAAGTTTGGGGATGTATACCCCGCCCCATCCCCTTGGGATTTACAACCATGCTCCAAAGCCAATTCCGAATGCCCTGAGGTCCAGCCACACTTTTTCTTAAGATTGGTTACTTCTGTCTCTATGGTTTTCTAGGTCTGTTTTGGACAAAGACAGAGATCTTTCCCTCGGACTGTCATCATTCCTCAGTAAAGTTTTAGGTAGGTATTTCAAGTATTCCCACAAATTTAGAATTCTACACAGGGATGTCTACTGCCTCTAGCAAACAGTATATTTTTGCTGTTTTTAGAAACATTCGATGACAGTTTATAAATAAATGTTTATGAGTGCAATGGTAAGAGGAATTTTCATGAGGTGACGGATGGAAATGCATCATTCCACTAGTCGAAGCAGAGTAAAATTGTTTAATATTTACCACTGCAAGAATGTGAAACATTTTTGTACAAATATTGGCATAAATCCTCTTCTATAAGAACAAACGTCCTCTCTTACCAACGTCCGTAACTTTACGAAACAGATTCATGTATGACGTATATAGACTGGTTATATTTTATAAGAGATGAACTGGTTCAACATTATTTTGAGGGCGGGTATACCTGCGATGAAATCTGCTTTGTACTCCAAATTAGACATGACTTGAGTTGCACGTAGGCACACAAGTCTTTTAAACAGTAATGTTTAATACTTTGTCAGCCCAATAAATATTGCTGATATGGTGGACTACCTGTACTCATCGGCCTATCCACTATGGCATGCACACCCACAAAAACCAACACGTCGTATTTTCTGAAAATTAAACCAAGTGATCACTGCCCCCAAAACATTCAATGAACAGTTACTTATCCACAGCACAATTGACAAAAACAATTTGCTGTCAAGTGTTTGTGGATTTCAAGGTGAAATTGAGAGAGGAAAAAATGGAATGTCTGTATCGGCTGGCAGATTTCTTTTCAGAATTTCCTGAAAACAAGTCAGCAGATTTTTACAGTAGGCAAGACTGAATTGCACTGCGGATGTGTTTGCCTACACATTTTTGCGCACAAAAATTTTCTCTAAAAAACACTTGGGTGAATACTCAGAGATAGGCGACACGCGACGGACGACGCACGGCGAACGAAGGGCGACGGCAGATATGGCAGTCATAGTTCCGTGTTAGCCGTAAAACAAGTTGTGTGGTAGTAAGGGTATCCTCCACCATTCTTTGCTTCCATTGACTTCCCCTTTTTAAGCCTTTTCAAGTCTGACTTCAAGGGACCATGAAATAGAAATATTGTACTAAATTGTACTAAAAACTCTTGAAATTGCACCTCCGGGTTTCAATTTACCTGATTGTTTACTTTTGCTCTGCAATTTTAACTCATACTTTGGAGCTTTTTTAGTGTTTATGCAAATGCACATTTACATATTCATGAGCAAAACTATGATGTCATCCAAGGCACCAAGCCTCAATTTTGCACTATTTGTGCACAGAAAATTCCCAGATTTTTAATTTCCTTTGGTAATTCATTGTTGTGTAAGTATGTGGCAATAGGCAAGCAAGCGACCTTTTCACAGGAATGTTTTCAGATAGCAAATTTGGAGCTCACAATTTGAACATGAAAGCATGCAAGATGTACCATATCTTCCTTGATTTACATCAAAGGAAAAACAACCTCACTTGTCAAAAAATTCTTCGTCAATTTGGAAAGTTTCAAAAGTGCACTTTTCAGTTCACATAACTCATAGCAAGAAGTCAAACAGTCTTCGTACCTATAAGAATAGAACAGAGATACGCAAAAAGTGATTCTAAGAAAAATTCATTTCATGGATCCTTTAATTAAGTAGGCGCCTGAATGCGCGGCTGAAAATACGGCTGGAGACCGACTATTGGGCCGAATAGGTGGCAAGCTTCACGCTGATACGACTAGTGAGTAGTGCCCTGACTGGGTACTTCAGGACATAGTCAGAAATGATCCCTGTTAATTTCTGTCGACCTTTTGCGCTTGTGGGAAAGCAAAGTTGTTTTAGTGCGGTGTATTTCCTTTTAGACCAGAAAGTAATAGCTATAAAACAAAAGTTTAAAAAAGTGACAAAACTGAGAAAAAATGACGTTGAAATTTGTGCCCCTGTACTTTTTAATGGGCCGCTCAAGCTTGTTGCTTCCACTTGCCATTTATACACTTGCGCACAATAATAATAATTTATTAGCGAACTGGTCCATCACATGTGATCAACGACCCAACAACCAGATGACGAGAATTTATGCAGGTAGTGTATACATGTAAAATGTTCCGTCAAATACCTTTTTGGTTGAAGACGCAGACGCACCCATACAACCTTTGCATGAGCGTGGCACCACTTCATTAATGGCTTCTTATCACCGAATAATTCTAAAATCCCACAGGATTCATACCAGCCCCGGTCCTCCTGGGTGCCATTATCGACACTCAGTGCTTGTACTGGCAAGAGTCGTGCGATGTCACAGGAGAATGCTTTCTGTACGACCGGCCTGGCCTCAAGTTCGCCTTCATCGGCTTCACGGCCGGTTTCAGATTTCTGGCCTGGGTGTTTTTCTGTATAAGTTCCGTCTTCATCTTTAAGGTAAACAAGGGCACCCGTCGCGACCATTTCAAGTCAAGACACACAAGTGATCAAAGAGGTACTTATGAGCGCGTCTGACCCTACCTCAAGCGGGATACCAAGTATTGCCTTTCTAATTTCAATCGACAGATGAGTCTGTAAATGCACTAAACTTATGATCTCGTCGCAAGAAGAAAGTATCGCGCATTATGTCCTCAACACCTGCAGATCCCATATGCCATGGTGCAAAGCACGCTTGGCTATTTTACAACTGAATGTGCACATCCAAATGGCGTATCACTCGCTTGGTAGTCGTTGCAGTTAGGACCATCATTTTTTTCATGATTAAAGAGTACCAACACTCATAACATACATCATCAGACTTGAAACGCTTTGTTCTCCTTTCCCAATTGCTTTTGTTGTCATTCACTAGCTTCACTGTCATTCCTTAGCACCATGTCCAGTTTTTGTGCCTCCCTCAACTGGTAATATCAAACATGGAAAGCTAGAGTTGTCAATAAAAAACCAAAAACATTAAAGGCAAAACAACCTCATCTTCGTGTGCATTTGGACGAGTCTGCCTTGGTAATCTGGATGGTTTGTGTTTGCATTTTGACTTCAGCAAATGAAATACGAACCAGCGAACGATAAGGACGGAAGGGCAACGCAGAACGGTGAAGACGTCAATGGCGGGGCGAATAACGGGCTGAAGAAAATGTCTTCCAAGGAAGCAGATGTGTAATCTCATTACAAGGATAAAACTCCTGGGGCACTGTTCGCCGCTTCGTCGAAGTTTTCCGGATGCCTCTTTTTGTCAATTCTGATTCACTTTTGATAGGCCTGAGAATTTTCTTTTTGTAAAACTTACGTGGTTTAGAGTACGTGCTACGGAACAAAATGGCGAGCCTCTACAATCCATATTTCTTTCTGAAATCAATCAAAACATTTTAGTGAAAAGATAACCGTCTAACCATGTTGTAACACTGATGAGCTTCAGAGATAACGACGTTTATGCAAAATTTTGAAAAAAAAAATTGTAAGTTCCAAAAAACAGCATTCCTGCAATAGCAATGAAGCAAGAGTTTCACACAATTTGAAGGAATAATTCTACCGATTTGTGTTTTAAAGCATAAAGTTGATTGGGAAGTCGATAGCAAATAACACGTTTGTGGATGATTTGTGGGATTTGAATGTATCGGTAACCCTAAAATAAAGCAGTATTAAATTTACTTTGCTTCTAAATGTAAATATTTACCCTCTCAAAATTATTTTATAGTTTGAAGCCTTCTGCTACATCGTTGTTTGCTTCAGAATTATAAACATTTGTTATTGCTTTTTTATAAACAAAACAATTGTACAGGGTCTAAACAATAATATCAAATTTTAAAAAGAAAAGCTCAAAAATGCAGCGCTAAAGACCTGGACCTTTGCTTTAATCATTTTAAGTGAATATTTTGCTTTGTGTATAAAGCAGCAGACTTCCTTATCCAAATAAATTTTGTACAGTGGACTTTTCGCATTAACTCGTTAAACATTTAATAATTATGTTATCAATGTTATTCCATGTTTGTAGTTTTTTTTTTTTTTAAAAAGATAAGCCAAAATGGAATGTCACAGGCAAACCAGAGGGAATTCAATGAATTTGGCGATTTTATGTTTGTATTATACCAGTATATAAATACGATGCTCCTAGGGCATAAATTCATCTACGGAAGATTATTGCCTCGCTACTTCAGTAATTCCACACAAAATGAACAAATATTTTCAAAACAAAAATTTAAAATGTAACAGTTGGTAAGAAACAATGTGACTGCTATTCTAATACAAGGAATAAAACAAATTCTAGTACATGGAATAAATCAAAGATCCCCAATGCATACATATATGCAAGACAGATTCAAACGTGCCCAATCACTGTGAGTTATCAGCAATTATCGCTACACCCAGCACAGTGTGGGCGGATACAAGAAAGTTGATGGGTTTGTCTGCTTATATCACCGCCAACGCCACCAGAATTTGAGTAATAATTTCAATTACGGCAAAAGGGGAAAACCTACCTATTCAAACTTACCAATACTTTCACTGTAGTTGTATTGTGGTAGCTATCCAAGTATCTATGCAGTTTCACCCCTCCCCTTTGCCACGAGGATTAAGCTGATTAAAATACGTAGCTACTTGACATTTGTATGACACAACTTAGTTAACTGCTATCAAACACAATGCATTTATGTCGGCTGTATGCATTGCGATCCCGCCAAAGCTAAATATCGAATTTCACGTCTAATGGCACAAAAGTGAACTCAAAATGTAGACATAATGTACACATGTTTTGCCGTCAAATGACCGTGGTGCTACGGCCTGCAAAACAGAAGGGCAATTTGTTGGTAAGGAGTTGGTAAAAGGTCTACTGACTCTCCAAATATTCCAGTCTTAGTTGGATTTCACTCACCGTCGTGTTTGTAGCAGTCTAATTCGTGAAACAAGTCCATCAGCTGTCCGCTAAAGTTGTTACTTGCTGGCTGGGTTGTATAGTTCCTTATCTGTGTTGTGCAGGAATTCCCTAATTGCTTACCCAAGATCTTCAGCCCTTCTTAACCACGTGAACTTACTAACAGTCCTTATCACGGCTGCCTATTGTTGTTGGTATAGTCTCAGGTCAGACAACCCGATTCAGTCCCCCATCGCTCTCGTGATCGCTGACTCTGTAAAACTTGATCTTCCTGTCTGGGTACTCGACGGTGTAAATGCAGTAGGCGACCAAGATGAAGAGAATGACTGCCACTGGGATGGCGAGAAACTGCAGCTTGTACAAAAGGCCTGAGGGGTCAAAAGGCTCCGGGTTCCCTTCTGTGTCATCGTCATCGTCATCCATGTCTGACGTGCTGTCGGTGGCGTTTGTCATGAATCCGTCCGCCGCTCCGTTTCCAGTGAGTGATAGGTTAACGTCATCAATAGCCAGCACGTGGACCCAAAAGTTGAGGTCAGTCCTTGGGGGTATGATGGGAGGCCTGCCATCTTCGCCATAAGCAAGGGAGTAGGGTATCTTCAATTGAAGTTCGTCACTGTGGTAATTGCAAATATCAAAAGGCAAATTTAAGGCCGTTTTCCAATACTCAACTTCGTCTCCGTCTCAGGCTTCGTTCCCGAAACCACTCCCCGACTGTGGGCCTGAGGCGTTTAAATCAAATTGGATTACTGTAAGTTTTTGCTCTCTTGCATCTTATTTGATGTTCTTAGTAAAAAAAAACAATTGAAGTCTGAGACGGAGCCGAAGTTGAGTATTGGAAAACGCCTTACTTTCGAAATACAGAAATCTCGAGCTCAAGACAGGGTCAGCAATAAAGACTTTTATGACCCTGATTATACATGTACATAATTCAACAGTTCCTTATAAAGAAAATTTCATCAGGTTCATATGACGTCACTTACTTGACGCATGCACCTTGCAGCGCCATGTTCCATCCTTTAGTGAGTCTGGGATCACCCAGGGTGAATTTAAAAGACTCGTTTCTTGCAAAAGAAGAGTCGAAAACTGTCCCGTTATCGAAAGTTCCCTGAAAGAAAATTCACAGTAAGCATACTTAAACATTATTTTTATCCCATGAACTCAAACAGAACACTTAATTTGCAGTGAAATATGGACGGGCTGCGTAGCACCTTGATCATAATATCGACAAGAATATAATATCAAATCAGTGCTCTGAAATACGCGATTGCCGAGCTTTCGGTAACTGAGTACCTTCTTCAAGGCAAGCAGATTCAGTTTGCAGTTTCTGATTTGACAGAAGAAGGAGCTGCAGTGGTGCCTTCTGATGCAGTCAAGGTCATTCTCCAAACACATCACGTGTGGAATAAGGAGCATGAACATGCAAACCTTTCAAGCCGAAGTCCCTCAAACCGATGGACTAAGTCTAAACTCGAACCCCTCCAAGGCCAAACAGGAAACCCACGGTCTGAAAGCCTATAATTTTCTTCAAGAACTGACTGTAGTGCTCGTTAGACAAAAACAGCAGCGACCATTTGCCACCTTTGTTTTCCGCTTCTTTTTGTTTCGGCCTAAACCTCTGTCCGCCAGCTTACCTCATAGTCTACTGTCAAGAAATTGCCATCTCTTGCCTGTGCAGCACTGCAGTTCCCCTCAACCTGAAAAACAGAGGTTCTGAAATGTGGTGAGCTGGACAAACAGACAGCTGGGAAAGCTGGGACAAGCTGCTTAAATCCTCGACAAAGGCAAAATGATGGAGCAAGTTATTAAAATGCAGGCTGCTATCAATCAATTATGCGCAATATACAATATTATTAACCATTTCGCATGTAAGCGAATAAAATACGATTTATTACACGGTTGCAAAGCCTTTCAAAAGATCCAATTCAGAAAGGAGATGCATAGCCTATACGCGCTTATGCATTATGACACAAATGGTGAAAATGTCACTTTTTATGTGCAAAACCACGCAGCTACAGTAAAAGGAACACTGACGTGAAAAGCAACCATTCTGCTCCTCGCTCAGCTTACACGCATTCAAAATTTTCTGCAGGTTTTCAGATGTTCATACAATCGTCGACTTACAGCAATATTTATGAAGACAGCAATGCATCTGTCATTTCGAAGGTGAAACATGTTGCGCGGTCTTTCAATTTTGTGTGCTTTCATTTGCATAACCGACTATATTTGTATTTTTGCGTTCAAGAAGTATTGGGTTGTCAGCAGTCTATAAAACATTTTAGCAGTAGCCATTCAACATTATATCAAAAGTGCATCAAAGTCTCATCTCTTTGGGCACTGATATCTCAAATTTAATCATAAGAATACAAAACCCTGTCCTGTGACCACATTGTCAATGCGACATGAGACTGTTATGAGTAACAGGTGAAAAACTTGAAAGACTGTCAATGTTTAGCATATTGGAATGCGATTTTAGGGTAAGAAGTCCTTAATTATCTAACTTTCCTCTAATTTTACAAGTCCTTTGGCGGTCAGGGTTAAAGGTCAAACTTCAACTATTGTCATTCACATCCTGCCAACGACTCCGGCCGATTTGAATGCAGGCTTATGTTACACCTCTTCGTTACTTAAAGCACGTAGCAGATTTCGCTGTAGAGGTTCATTTTTAAAGGAACCCCCCCCCTGAAAAATCTGATGCTAAACGTTGCAAGATGCCCAACGCAAACACCATGGACCAGCACAATATAACAAAGTTCAAGGCCTTTCCTGTTGGTACTTCAAGCATATAGGGACAGTCCACTATTTCAAGCCCCATTGAAAACAACCCTGAGATTTCTGAAACACAAATG